TACTTCCCTACCTGTTGCCCAGGGAAGCCAAGCAGATTCCCTTGGGGCAGTGGCAGCAGCAGCAACCCCATCCAGAAGCTGCTTCTGGTGGGGCTGGGCTCTTCTGCCCATGTGGTTGGGAGTGAGGCACAATAGAGTATGTTGGGGGATGTGTGTATACGTGGTGCCTCGCTCTCACCCTCACGGGCAGAAGGGCTGGGCAGGGTACAGTTTGTTGGTGGGTGCCCATGGGCCAGATGAAAGTGCCTGGTGGGCTGTATTTTGCCCACCCCGGATGTTGAGGCATATGTGGTATCTGAGGAAAATAGTGATTTTTTTTTTGTTTGCTTGTTTGTTTTAAACCAGTTGAATTTGTAAGCCTGAGGTGGGAAAATGAAAAGCAAAAAAGTAAAGCAATTGTAACAAGATGGGGATGTATGCATAGGTGTACTCAAATGCATGCAAGTGGTTATGTAATCTGATGAGGGCCTCATCGATTTGTCTTCTGGTAACCTACATCAACTGGACAGAGATTTTTCAAGTAACAGAAAAATGCTTGTTTTTTGGTCAAAACAAAGTCCCCTCACTGTATTTGGCACTCTGGCTACTTATATGGCTACTTATATACCACTATGTCAAATGAACTACTTAACTTCTCTTGATCAAGATTTGTCTTGAGGAAAGGGTGTATTGCACCAGCTACTACGTTTTGGGGTTTTTTTTTCTTTTTGTCTCCTGATTTAACAGAAACATTAAGATAATGGATTCAAATGCAAATATGTCAGTTTAGGAAAAATTGAAAACTGCCAAATGTTGAGGGTTTGTTTGGATTTAAAAAAACAAACAAGTAATACAGGTTTCTTGTTTGGCTTTCCTTAGAGGTCCAACACCTGACCCTGTTGCACAATCATCTGTAACAAGAGTTGCAGTACTAAAGCTGGTTATTATGGCAGGTGCAACAAATCTCTTTTTCTGAATTATTCTGTTTAATCAGTTCACTGACTTTTCCAGACTTGAGAAATTGAATTGAAATTGCAGGGAATCTTGTTTGTGTGTAAGAGTTTTTTGGGGGCGGGATTCTTTTTCTTTTGTCTTATATAAATAAGAACTTAGGTTGACCAATTTGGCATCTAGAAACAACCTGTTCCCTTACCAGAACTGCATTTTTAAACTAAACCCAAAATAAACTTTTATATAGTACACTTTGGTTTTAGTTAGTAAAACTAAATTTTGAAATTCTATATCTGCACAGTAATTGGAAAAAATAGAATTCAATTAGAAAAATAATATGTAGAAAATGAATCATTATGTTTGTTAGGGAGGGGAAAAAACCGAAATACTAGTCCAAACAAATTATACCTGAAGCTCTATCATGGCTCAAATATGCATGCAAGGTAGCTTACTGGTTAGCAAAAAGTGTTATTCAGTGGTTAATGCAGCTTTTTTTAAAAACAATCTCTTATCTTGGGGATAAATGTAAAGTAATAAGATCATCTAATTGGATTTATAACTTCCATTCAACTGGAATACAAAAATGCCTCGTGTTCAGATAGTGTTTAAATTCGCTTGGTTTCTTTTCAATTTGTCAAAGGTGTTGACTTTGCCAAAACATTAGTTAATTCCACTGAAATAAACAGGAAGACTGATGGAGAAGAGCAAAATCACTTTATGAAGAAATTCCAGGATATTATGCTTAAGCAAAGACCAGAGAGAGTATCTCATCTGCTGCAGGATAACTTGCCAAAATGTAAGGATTATTCTTGTTGCTTTACTAGCAAAGTAAGTGTGAAGCAGCTTTCAATTCTGCAAATCCGTATCTGCTCCATCCAGACGTTAATGCTCAACATCTACCTACTCTTGTGTATTTAATAGCTTCTCTCTTATTTTAGCTGTGTCTACCTTCCAGTATGATCAGTTCTTTGAAAGAAAAATTGATGAGAAAAAAAAGGATCACACATATCGAGTATTCAAAACAGTGAACCGAAAGGCACAGGTCTTTCCCATGGCAGATGACTACTCGGATTCCCTCAAAAAAGAGGTGTCTGTTTGGTGCAGCAATGATTATCTGGGGATGAGTCGCCACCGTCGAGTGTGTGGAGCAGTTATGTAAGCAGTTGTATTACTTCGTTTTAAATTTTAATAATTGCAAGGTATACAGTGACCTACAAGTATACATGCAAGCTTCTTTAGAATTAACACTTAAATATTTGCCATAGCTGGCCATATTTGCTTCAGGGATATAAACTTGGGAGCAATCATGGTTTTGAATATTAAGTAATTATAATAAATATCTGTCACCCCCCGCATTGTATTTTGTCATTTAGGAGCTTCCAAAAAACTAGACAGAACATATGACAAGATTTGAATACTTCTCAATATTTAGTACAAATAGTTGAAGGTAATGATTGATTCTTTTAAGATTCTTTTTTAGAGGCAGAGCTAGAGAACTGACACTAGTCTTTATGGGTAGGTGTGCATCAATAAAGATTCGTTTGGCTGATACCAATGGCCAATTTATTAGCCAGCCATATTAGCCAGTACCGATCCAATCGCTGATATGCAGCCTGGCAGCATGGAGAACAGCGTCTGGCAGGTAAGTCTATGGGGGAGGGAAGAGGCATGGGAGGGCCAATAGAAGCCCCCATGGTGAGGGAGAGAGTGGGGCTTGGGCAGGGGCAGGCATTGCCCAGCCAGGGTGGGGTGGGGCATAGGACAGAGCTGAGGGCAGCTCGTCCAGGGGGTGTGGAGAGCTGCCCTGGATTTGTGCACGGGGCAAGGGGCTGTGCCAGCATCTTCCCAGTGGGGGGGCCTGGGCAAGGGCTACGCTCAGGGTGGGGCGGGCAGCAGTGGTGCTGAGGGGGGGGTTGCAGGGAATTTTGGGGTGGGGTGGCTGTAGCCTACTCCATAGCCCTCCCTTTCCAGTGCCGCCACCCAGCTCCCCCACTGGAAAGAGGCCAGCACAGCCCCAAGCCCACAGCAGGCAGCCTGCCCTCGTCCTGTGCACAAATCCAGGAGGCACATGCTTCCCCCAGGGGTGCACACAGTGGCTGCCCACAGCTCTGTCCCATGCCCCACCCTGCCCCAGCTGGGCAGTGCCTGCCCCTGTCCCACTCTGTATCTCACCATGTAGGCTTCAAATGCCCCACACCCCTTCCCTACCACAGACTTACCTGCCGGACGCTGCTCTCCAAGCTGTCGGACTACATTCCTGGCCATGTGTATGCTGCAGGTGCGCACATGCATGCAGCATTTATGGGTGACCTTATTGACTACTCCAGCCAAAAGAAGCCGATTGCCAGTAATGTCAATTTTCCTTTTATCAGTGCTGATATTATATGGACTAATATACTGATGCACCCCTAGTTGAGAGAAGTTTCATCAGTTCATTATTTAGTTAATTTCAAAAACCTTTTTCAGATGGTGAACAAACAAATACTTCTTGCACATATCAAGTGTTTTATTTATGAAGTTTGTAAGGAGAATTTTGTTATTGTATGGCTTTTCCCCATATTGTTCATATGCTGCTCAATCCCAGTATACTTAAAATGGGATTAATGTTGCTTTTTTTTTTTTTTTTTTTTTAACGCATCTAATTAGGGATACACTGAAACAACATGGTGCTGGAGCCGGAGGCACTAGGAATATTTCTGGAACAAGTAAATTTCACGTTGACTTGGAACAAGAATTAGCTGATCTCCATGGAAAAGATGCAGCATTATTGTTCTCATCTTGCTTTGTTGCTAATGATTCTACCCTTTTCACTTTAGCTAAAATGTTGCCAGGTGAGATCTGACATGATCTACATTACATTACTCGGCAATATAGTCCGGCAAGCTCTGATACTTGATTCTCTTGCAGGATGTTTTAGCAGCCAAAAAAATTGTGGTGTGGACCAGTTTTGGTGACTTTCATATTTCAGTACTCTGCAGGCATGCAAAAAAAGCATTGGAAACAAGAGTTTGTTAATTTCTGTTTGGGCTACATTGTCTAGGATTGAGACAAGTGGTGAGGAAAGGCATTCCACATGTGAGGTTATGGTAGCTCATAAACAGATTCATACAGTGTGATTTATGATTTCACTCACCCAATGACCACACACACACACACATGTATATGTGTGTGTGTGTATATGTGTGTGTGTGTGTGTGTGTGTGTGTGTGTGTGTGTGTGTGTGTGTGTGTGTGTATATATATATATATGTATATATATATATATTTTTTAAGAATGGAAATATTAATTGCTCATTAATAAAAATAAATTGCCTCTTTCATTCATATATGGTTATGCCCTCAGGCTGTGAGATATACTCAGATGCAGGAAACCATGCCTCCATGATTCAAGGAATTCGAAACAGCAGAGTACCGAAACATATATTTTACCATAATGATGTCAATAATCTTAAAGAACTATTGAAAAAATCAGATCCAGCTATTCCTAAAATAGTTGCTTTTGAAACTGTTCACTCAATGGATGGTAAGATTTTTATTTTTTTTAAGAATAATATTACTCAACATGTATGTCATAAAACACTGAAGTGGTACTGACCTTCATTGAACTGTGCTATAGGAGACCTGGGTGTTGCTGTCGAACACCAGCCCAAGAATTTCTGTTTTTTAACATTTTAGTAAGTCTTGAAATCTGTGTACAATCAAAAAGCAAGGACTTGCGATTCTAAGGAGTTTTTTTTGCGGGGGGGGGTTTGTTGTTATCTTAGGTGCAGTCTGTCCTTTGGAAGAACTGTGCGATGTGGCTCATGAACATGGTGCAATCACCTTCGTAGATGAAGTGCATGCTGTTGGGCTGTATGGTGCTCGAGGTGGAGGCATAGGAGATCGGGATGGAGTTATGCATAAAATGGACATAATATCTGGAACACTTGGTATGTGTGTGTTGCCTCCTACTTAGAAGAATGCATGCAATTATGTTCTTGTTCAAAAAAAAAAAAAAAAAGCTTTCACTTCAACAAAATTAAGTTGATTCAAAGCTAGTCAGAGCAAATGGATCAATTCCCGGGAACATCTCAACAAAAGATGAGACCTTAACATGATATGATGTGACTGAACATCTGACTAAAAAGGGCACTTGATTAGCTTATGCCAAGGGTTTTCAACCTTTTTTAACAAGTGTATTCCTTCTGTCCCAGAGTTTCACCTCATGTACCCCTTTATATTTTTTTCATGTTTTCAAGGGGGGCAGTGCAGATTGAGGCCCCTTGAGGAGGGAGTGGAGCAGCAGCAGTTGGCCATCCTGTGGTGCAAGGGTGGTCAGTGGCACTGGCAGCTTGTTTGGGGGACACAGTAGATTGAGGAGGTAGCAGGGAGCAGAAAGCAGAGTGGTGAGGGAGCACAGTAGAAGCAGCAGAAACAGAGCAGCAGATTAAGGAAGCAGCACATGGGGCAGGCGAAGGGGGCTGGCCAGAGCAGGTGTGGAGTGATGCCAGAAGCCCAGCCCCTTCCTGGGGCAGAGGCCAGGCAGAGCCTGCCTGGGCAGCACAAGGGACCCCGAGTGTTGCACAGCACAGGCAGAGCCAAGCCCGGGACTCCAGCCCAAGCCAAGCCCCACCTCACCCCAAGCAGCTGCCCTGGTGCTGCCCGCCTGGCCTGGCCCAGATAGACACTCACATGTGGCAGCAACTCCGGCTCAGGTGGCTGCAGGCGCCACTCTCAGGGCTCAGAAGCCGCAGACCACACCTCTTCCTTTCCCAGCCACTCCCCAGGAGGCACCGCAGCTGCTTGCAAGGCGGAGAATGCCAAGAGCTGTGGAGCATCCCCACTTGCCAGGTGAGGTCTCTGCAGCGGCCCTGACACAAGGCGTGGTAGGCTGGGGCCGGGGTGGCATCAGGCTGTTCCCGGAAGGGGCTGGGCCGGCCTGGGCTCTGGGCAGGAAGTGGTGGTGCTGGGAGGCGGGGGGGGGCTACAGGAGGGGCTGCAGCCAGTCCAAAATTTGCTGTAGCCCCCCATAAGCCTCTCTGTGCCACTGCCCACCCCAAGTGCAGTCTGGTCCAGCCCAGCACCCACTGGGAACAGCCCGGTGCAGCCCACCCCACCCCGTGCGCAGATCCAGGAGCATGAGCCTCCCAGGGTGCACGTAGCAGTGGGAGCCGCCGTTCCCCCTGCGTGTCTCAGTCCCACGCTCACCCCAGCTGGGTAGCCCCTGCTGCAGCTCCAGCCCCACTCCTTCCCCCCACAATGTGGCTGGGCTGCACCCCTGGTTGCTGGTGTGCTGCGCTGCAGCTGCATTCATGCATACAGAGTTCTACCTACCCCCTACGACCCTTTTAAGTACCCCTAGGGGTATGCATACCCCTGGTTGACAACCACTGACTTATGCTAATAAGCTAGCAAAATGGCATTAATGTGCTACCATCAACAGTAAATTCTTATGAGAATAATACAGTATTCTGCTTAATAACTTCCCCTATGTAAGAGAGAATTATATCAAGGAGAAGGAAATTCTGCAATGAGATTGCCATTACAATATCTCTGATAAATATCCTATGTTTCTATACCGCTGGCTTCATTTTCACATCCCTATCACCCATGTTTTTAGCTCCCCTTCCTCCTGCCCCTGTCCAAGAAACCTTATAGTGAAGACTAACAATATTTTTTTGTCAGATCTCAGACTGTTACAAAATAGAACTCAGAATCAACAGATAGTACAGTAGGCATTTTGGTTTCATTTTGTGGCTTGTTTTGGTGCCTAAATACTTTTTAATACCCTAACATGCTAATTGCACATTGCATATAACCATTCAAACACATGAAGTGCAACTGGAACATAGAAGCAAAACTGCATGTTTCTAATTGCCAAGTAAGTGTTGTGGGGAGACAGCTGGGAGAGTGGAGGACAGATGGATCTGAAGGTTCAGACTTATTACTGAGCCGAAAGTAATTTTCTAAAACTTACTAGTTCTGTTCCCTTTTCAAAAAATTTTTTGCATTTGGTAGTAAAAGGATAAGTTGCTCCCTTGCCACACTTCTACATATGCAAATTAATACAGGATCAATGTACTGTACAGTAAATTTCTCTAGAGTAAACTGACCGGGGTAGGTGTCTACACATTCAGGGTCTTGGGAGCAGATTTGCTGCTCATGGCAGCAATCTTCTCCTGCCCCTGCTGGTCCTGCACCAGCTCCCTGCAGCAGCCGAGGGGAGCTGACAGGGATCGTGAGGCCAGGAGATAGCTGTTTCCTGGTGGGGGCTGAGATATAGCTCCCTGCCCCCAGAGGGCTGCCTGCTGCCAGGGTAGGCTCCACCACCAGAGCCCAGATGGGTAAATGTCCCCCCTGCCCCAGCAGCAGGGAGCTCTTGGTCCTGGCTCCCTGATTTGGGGGCAGGGGAGTTGGAAAGAGCTGCAGAGGAAGGGCAGGTCTCAGCCCCCTACCATGATCCTTTCGTGGGACAGCTAGCAGAGTTTCCCTGCCCAGTCACGGGCTTGCTGCTACCTCTTTCCAAGCCACTCGCTTGATCTGGCCACAGGGCTGGGACCTGCCTCTGACAAGGGACAGTTCCCAGCCCCCACTCCACTATTGCTGGGTGGGGGCTGGAAAGCCTGTTCCATAGTCACAGAGCTGAGCAGGGAACAGGCTACAAAGTCCCCACCAACAGGGAACTCCCAACCCTCGATTGGGAGCAGGGACTGAGAGTTCCTCTTCTTCCAGCCTGAGCTTCCAGCACCAGCCCTGCAACTGTGGAGCTCAGGCTAGGAGATGAGGATCTCCTGGCACCAGCCCTGCGACCACAGAGTTGGGGCTGGGAGCTCCCTGCTGCTGGGGGCAGGAAGCAATCTCCTGTTGCCCATCTGACCAGGAGCACATTTGCTCCCAGTCAGGGTTCTACACCTGCGCTACTGCAGTTACTAATCACAAGTAAATTTGCTACTTGCATTTGCAGACAGCAAATGTATTTGCGATTAGAGCCAATTACTGCACAGTAAGCATCTGTACATGGAGATGCAGATGCTTACTGCACAGTAATTGGCTCTACTATGCAGTAAAGTATCTTGTGTAAATGTGCCCTGGGCAGTGTCATCTCACTTCCCCCTCCACCCCTTCCATATGCATTAGTATGGTGCTATCTGAGTGGCAGCCCATGGTTAAATTGTGGCCTGTAGGGCTGCTAAAGCCACCGTGTTGATGTGGCTTCAGATTCCAGGAGGTGAATGCCATCACCACAATTCACCACACCACCAAGTTTGGGGGATTTCAGTTACTGTCAGTGCTGGGGGGAAAGCAGGGTGGGACTCCTGGGTTCTGGAGCTGTGCCAACAACCTGTTGCCTTGCCACTTCGTGGTGGGTTCTCCAGCCTATCAGAAGCCCCACTGTCTAGATCTCGGCCACACGAGGGCCGCTTCTGCTTTAATTAGTTAGCTTTTTCACAAAAAGCTGTAGGCAAGGCCAGCTCTTTCAGGGTGCCATAGCATTAACGTTGCATTGTACTACAAACTGATTTCTGGATGAACTAACATAACATTGAACTTGTTGTGTACTACATTCATAGTGTCGTAGGGCAGTGGTTCTCACCCTTTTTTTGTACTGGGACCCATTTGCTAAAATCAATGGCTTGTCCTGACCCATGTACCCCTGGCCCTGGTGGTGCCTGCTGTCCTCCCTTCACTCCCAATCCGCAGTCCCCTGTTCCCCCAGCCCTGCCAGAGGGGGCCCACAGCTGCCTTTGTCTTGCTCAGGCCAGAGCGTGAGCAGCAAGTGTGGGCCCCTGTGTGTATGGGCACAGACCCATGTTGCCGGGCCATGCACACAGCTTCCCCTGCGAAGGATCACCCCCTCCTTCCCCTGCTCCCCTGCCCTGCCGCAGCCCTACGCCCGGCCATTGTCCCAAGCATCGGCAGGCAGGCACACAGGCGCATGCACTGTATGCTGGCTATGTGTGTCTGCGCATGCAGATGTGCATGCGCCTGCTGCCTCCAGTTATCCCAAGCAGCCATTTGCAAGCTGGAATGCTGCCAGCCTGCAAGGGGAAAAGTGTGCTTTCACAAGTTTTTCTGAAGACCTGCTCACAACCCTTTCAAATATTCTTGCAACCCACTGGTTGAGAAACTGTCATAGGGCACCAAATCACAATCTTTTCGTACCTTGTATGAAGTACCTTATCAAGTGTGGTGTCTTTTTCTTTTCCCCCCCTTATTCTCCCCAGGCAAAGCATTTGGTTGTGTAGGAGGGTATGTTGCCAGTACAAGATCCTTGATAGATACCATACGTTCCTATGCTGCTGGCTTCATTTTCACAACATCGCTGCCACCCATGCTTTTAGCTGGTGCACTAGCATCTGTCAGAACTCTAAAGAGTGAAGAGGGGCAAGTTCTTCGACGCCAGCACCAACGCAATGTTAAGCTTATGAGACAGATGCTGATGGATGCTGGACTTCCTGTAATACACTGTCCTAGTCACATCATTCCAATCAGGGTAACTATTTTAAAGATTAAAATATTTCCTTTGTACTTACTCCAAATAGTTCTTGCTTTGTGTATAGCTGCAAAAACTTGCATGCATGTTATCTGACAAGTAGAAGCCTATTCTAATAGTCACAAATAGTAAGCCACACTTGGCCTACTGTTAGCTTAAAATGATGAAGACTGTAGTTGAATGTTTGGGTGTGTTGGTCATTGACATGAGGGAAGATGGGAGTGTACTAACATCAATGTGTGAAACATTTCACAGCAAGAACGGGTACATGGAAAACTGTCTGGCATTTACATTGTTAATGCACTATACAAGTTTTATTCCTATTTTTATTTTATACTGAACCTTCTGTGGAAGTAGAACCTTTTCTGCCCAGTAAAGGGTTTGAAATGTTGAAGCTGAGAAGGTGAATATACTTTATAAGAATGCTTCCCAAACTTCTGATACCTGGGGCACACATTTTCCATATTAAAATTAGAGGTGCACGGATACATCGGCCCATATTGTGTCGAGACCAATAAAAGGAAAATTGATATTACCAGCAATTGGCTTTTTTGGGCTGATGTGGCTGATGGATGGATGTGTCCCCCAGGATCTGCGTGAGGCAGGCTGCAGCTGTGGGCTGGGGCCAGGGGCTGTGCTGCACTGTGCTCAGGACAGGCTGCGGTGGCACTGGGAGGGGTGCTACGGTGAAATTTGGGGGTGGCTGCAGCCCCCCGTAGCCACCCGTCCCAGCCACAGTGCTGTAGCCTGCCTGGTCTGCCCAGTGCAGATTTGGGGGCACCCCCCACCGGTACCCTCCCCAACAAGCAGCACACATCAGCTGCCCCCCCTTCCCTGCTCCCTCTTCCCTCCCTGCGCCCCCCGGACGAGCTGTGGCTCCTTCCCGCACCTGCCCTACCCCAGCTGGGCAGCACCTACCCTAGCCCTACTCCCTCCCTCACCGTGGGGGGCATTGATCTGCCCCCCCACTTCCCTTCCCTCCCCCCTTTCCTTTCACCACAGCAGACTTACCAGCTGCACACAACTGTATCGGAAATCAGATCGGTATCAGCTGATATGCCTCCTTAAAAATTGGCTATTGGTATCAGCCCCCAAGATCTCTATTGGTGCACCCCTATTTATTTGTTTGTTTGTTTTTGTATCACCCTTTGGGAATCACCACTCTAGAAAGGATGTTAGATGAAAGTCCTTTGACCCTCCTACTTAATAGTGTCCTCCTATAACACAGTGGTGTAGGAAGGGGGAACAAGTTAGTTCATGTTTTGGTTCTGGGTTTAAGCTGGCTCAGCTTCTGAAGAAAGCTGCACCTACTCAGATTTATAAACTTGCTTATACTGTATATTTTATTAATAAAGCATGCATGCTTCCAGTCACCACCTTTGCACTGACTTTTTTGTGTGTGTATTTGTGTAATTTTAGGTTGCAGATGCTGCTAAAAATACTGAAATATGTGACACGTTAATGAGCCAGCACAGCATCTATGTCCAAGCAATAAACTATCCCACAGTTCCTCGTGGAGAAGAGCTTCTGCGTATTGCCCCTACCCCTCATCACACACCTCAAATGATGAGCTATTTCCTTGGTGAGTGAACAGATCCTAAGAGTTGGCATTAAAGGTGGGGAAGGAGACAAACCACCTACAGTGGTAGAAGAACAGGTTAGGACTTACTGAGAGAAGTTAGATGCTTTCAACTTGGCAGGTCCAGGAAGGTCTCAGTGAAGGAATTCACTGAGGTAACTTCAGAGCCATTAGCTATCCTCTTTGAGAACTTACAGAGGTTGGGTGAGGTTCTGGATGATTGTAGAAAGGCAAAGATAGTGCCCTCTTTTTAAAAAAGGGGAGGAGGAGGAGCATGCAGAGAACTACAGACCAATCTACCTGAACTCAGCTCCTGGAAAGATCATGGAGCATGTCCCCAAGGAATCCATTGTGAAGCATCTAGAGAAGAACAAGTGATCAGGAACAGGCAGCATAGATTCCCTAAGAGCAAGTCATGCCTGCCCAATCTGATTTCCTTCTATGATAAGGTGACAGCTTCTGTGGGTGGGGGAGAGTAGAGTATATGGCAGCTGAGTTCTAGAAGGACTTTTTGCACAACCTTCTTACTAACAAGTTGAGGAAATATTAACTAGATGAAAGTATTATAAAGTGATTACATAATTGGTTGGATCATATTACTTTAGCAGTAAGTCATTAGTTGCTCAGTCAGAAGAGGTATTCGGTGGGGTTCCCAGGTATCTGTCCTGGGTCTGGTATTGTTCCGTATCTTTGTTAATGTTTTGAATGATGGGATTGAGTGCCTGCTTAACAAATTTGGGTGATAAAACCAAATTGGGTGAACTGGCGGGCAAGGCAAAGATCCAGAATGACCTTAAATAAACTGGGAAAACGGTTTGCAGTCAGTGAGATGAGATTCAACAAGGACAAAATCCTGCTCTTGTGATGAAGTAGCTGCATCTACAAATACTAGAGGTGCACCAATATAAAGAACATTTTCTGTATCGGAAATCAGCCCGATGGGGCCAATAATTTTTCCAATAAACGTCCATGTGTGCATGCAGCTGCAGCACAGCACATAGGCAGTGAGGAGCAGAGCCAGCAGCGTGCAGTGCTGTGTGCAGCTGGTAAGTCTGGTGTGAGGAAAGGGGAAAGGGAAGGTGTGCTGGGGGGGATCAAGGCCCCTGTTGTGAGGGAGGGTGTGGGGTTGGGGCCAGGGAAGGCATGGGATGGAGGCACGGTTTGTCCGGTGCTCATGTGGTGGCTCCAGGATGGCATATGGAGGGGGGGGCAACATGTGCCCCTGGATCTGCATGGGGCAGGCTGGCGCCAGGCTCTTCCTGGCTGGGCAGATCTGGGGGCACCCCCTCCCCAATGCCCTCCTTGGCGAGCGGTGGGAGCTGCCGGATAAGCCGTGCCTCTGTTTTGCGCTCACCCTGGCCCCAGCCCAGAGCTGCAGCCTGCCCTGCGCCACACAGGTCGGGGTCACACACCCTCCTTCCCCACCCCCGGCTAGTGAGCCCCAGCCCCATTCCCTCCCTCCCTCACTGCTGCAGCCTTGATTTCCCCCCCCCGCCCCCCCCTCCCCCACCCCCATCAAGGGCTCGGTGAACAACTGTTCACCAGGGCACCCTTGGGGAAAACTAAGAGTAATGGTCACAAACTCTTTGACGGCTGTTTCAGGCTCAACATTAGGAAAAACTTCTTCACAGCTTGGGTGTCCAGACTATGAAATAAGCTCCCTCCAGAGGTGGTGCAGTTGCCTACCTTGGAAATCTTCAAGAGGAGACTAGACACTCACTTTGCTGGGGTCACCTGACCCCAGTTGTCTTTCCTGCTTGGTGCAGGGAGCTGAACCCAATGATCTTCTGAAGTCCCTTCCAGCCCTACAATCCATGAATCTATAAGGGAAGTGATTTTTCTGCTCTATTTAGCACTGGTGAGGTTTCATCTAGTGTATTATGTTCAGTTTTGGGGTCCACCCTTCATGAAGGATTTGGACAGATTAGAGAGGGTAAAGTGGAGAGCAACAGAAATTATTAGAAGCCTGGGAAGCATGAGTTGGGAGGAAAGGCTAGAAGAGTTAAAGTTACTTAATCTGTAGAAAAGAAAAGATTGAGGGGGTGGCCTTCAATAAGAGAGGAGGATTGTTTTTTTTTCTCTGTGGTCATAAGGGACAGAACTAAGAACAAAGGCCTCAAGCTGCAACAGAGGAAACTTAGGTTGGAGATTAGGAGAAACTTTCTAACTATGAGGGTGGTCAAGTATTGAAGCAGGCTACCTAGAGAAGTTGTGAACTCTCCACCCCTGGAAATTTTCACGAGTAAGTTGGACACTTGGCTAGGATGGTGTAGTCGGGGATGATTTAGTCAGGGTTTAGTCTAGACCCCTGCCTTGAGCAGGGGTCTAGACTAGATGCCTTTTTAAGGTCCTTTCCAGCCATACTTTCCTATGATCCTAAGAACACTGCACTCAAATGCCTTTTGAGAGCAGACTCTCAGTCTATAAAGTGCACCCGTACTCAGTCTTCTACAAAAAAAAGTACCAAACAGTCTGTGATCTTGCCTTGAAAAAGTAGTGGCACTCATTTTTAAGGTTCAAGCTGAAAGAAAACAATTTATTTCTGTGTAATACTAGTCTAGTCCTCTATCACCTTCTAAAGTTTCTTTTTGAAAAGTATTGCTTTCTTATGACAGTGTGTAAGCATTCTTATGTTGAACTAATTTTTAAGTCCCACATCTCCACGAAAAGCAGGACCCTGCTTCAACAGTTTCTGATGATCAGATGAAAAGCAGAACCTTCTAGCTGATAAAAACTTATCTTCCCTCTCCCTATTAAGTACCTATGTGTGAAAGCAGTATCTGGGATTCCTTACTTTTTCTTCCCCTCTCAGCCACAAAGTCAGTTTAGAGCTGTGGAAATCTGACTACCCTTTTTAATACAGGTTAAGAAGTAGCAACTAGCACCCTTAACTGCTTTTTCTTTTCCTTGGGCATTCAAAAAATGTAATTGGTCCATTTTTTTAATGAACTATGTACTCTTAATCTTACTCAAGCTGAATATAAGTAGAAACCAACTTCCCCTGACACCTTACCCTACTTTAGTGTAAGAATAAATTCTGCTAAATATCTCTTTTTGCCACCCCTCACTTCTGTAAACATCACAATTACTTTATTTGCATGCTGCATGCGCGTTTCTCCCTCCAGAACTAGGATGCATGGCTTAAGTGAGGACGCTTCTGTTCTTTGCTGGAATTAGAAGCAAGGAGACTTTGCTATAACAGCTGCCAAAATGGCTGTCATTGGTTTCGGGACCAGCAGGCGCAAAGCACAGTGTTAACCTCTCATAACTGCTGCCAACTTAGGGAAGAGGTAGAATGTTTTTTCACATTCTGCCTTCCTGAAACAAGGTGCTTGTCTTATCTCAGGGGTAGGGGTGGTATGCAAGACAGTATGGGGATTACTTGCCTGAAGGTTGGAAAGTGTTTAGATTACTGAATGTTTAGTAAAGCCCTAAGTGAGTATTCTTGAATATATTCTTCCTCTCAACAGAAAAACTGCTGGCTACGTGGAAAGATGTTGGTCTGGAATTGAAGCCACACTCTTCAGCTGAATGCAACTTCTGTAGGAGGCCTCTACATTTTGAACTAATGAGTGAAAGGGAAAGATCATACTTCAGTGGCATGAGCAAGCTATTATCTGTTAGTGCTTGAAAACTATCTAACTTAATCTCATCTATGTGTAATCATCTAATATCCAGACATCCCTGTAGCATTTCTAAATTGCATGTTAAGTTAAAATGTTTTATCTAATACTCAAGGCACCAAACTCCAAAAATAAATTTCAGGATGATATTTTCTGGTTGTTCTTTCTACTGCCTCTAGTCTTTACCCCTTACGAACAAGATTGTAAAGATTGCAGTATGGAAAAATAGTAGGTGGAACTGTTTGCAATGCCTCAAAGTCTTTTGAGGCACCATGTATTGCACATGGATCTGTTAGCTGCACTGCTTATTTGCAGCGTGGTGGCAAAATTGTATACCAGGAAATCTAAAAAAAACCTGCAGGAAAGCAGTACAGCACATGCAGAGTGCACTGCCCGAAACAAGCCTGGCTGGCCAGATCCGTGTTGGCTGGATCGCCACCGCTGCAGCCTTTACCAGGACCCCAGGTAAGACTACTGGGGCCAGCCCAGGTGCTGGCCTCATTCTTCCCTAATCCACCTGGGGCAATCTGCTGCACACCAGAGCATATATGCAGGGGCATGCCTGGGGACAACTAACAGTGGCACAAATATGTGCTGTTGCTGTTTGTCCCTAGGAAAACTTACATTCCTGATCATGGGGTACCCCCTGAGTTTTGATCACTACTTAGTGATGTCCAGCAATGATGATGCAGAAAAGATACAAAAGGCAAAGGGATGGTGGACATGACTAAACAGTTGCTTTGAGCTTTTGGATAGGGTACTTGGTACCCAGATGCTCATCTATATCCCTTCCAACTATGTAGTTGGTAGGCCTGTGCGAGTCGGCAGCGATCCGATCTGGCTTCAGATCTGGCTGCTTTGGATGGCCGTGATCCAATCCGGAGCTCCGGACCGGGTTTCCACCTTGATCCGGCCGAAGCTTCGGAACTGCCTCGGAGATCTGGCCATAGGGTATAACGGGGGAATCCATGAAATATCTATAACTTGATTGGTTTTTTGTCCGATTTGGATGAAACTTGCAAGGATGGTAGCCTCTGCTGAAAGCATGAAACCTACCAAGTTTCAAGAAGATCGGTGCAGGGATTTGGGGGGAACTGTACCCCAAATTCTTGAAAGCCAAACATGTCACAGCTGTGCGTCACACCACAGGGGGGTCAAAACTGCAGGGCTGGTAGCTCTTACTGAGGCCACAAAGCCTGCCAGGTTTCAAGGAGATTGGTGCAGGGGTTTGAGGGGACCTGCACCTCAAGCTGCTGATAAGCAAAACTCGTGCCATGGGTGACCGTGTGTTGATTCAGGCACAGCGGGGTGACAGCTGCAGGATTAGTGGCCCCTGCTGTGATGCCTGGCAGCTGTCAAGGAGATCGGTGCAGGGGAGTCCGGGGCCCTGCACCCCTAGCTGCTGACAGGCAAAACTCTTGCTAAGACTGCGTCTGTCTTGGGGCAGTTGATTGTCTGTATTGAGTCTTTCCTCTCCTTAGCCTGGTTTTGTAGGTGCTAATTGATGCTCGTTAAGTTATGTAGTAGCTAGGTCCTGTGTATTGAGCTGGTCCCTGGTCCCTGAGTGACTCTTGATTGATTGATTGATTGATTGGTAACTGGGAACACAACAGCTCCCGCTCCCCGCCCCAAAACAGAGTCAGTCCCACAAGCATTCATGGCACCAGTTTTGCTTGTCTGCAGCTTGAGGGGCAGTTCCCCCACAAACCCTTGCACCGATCTTCTTAAAACTTGGCAGGCTTCATCCTCTCTGTAGAGTCTACCATCTCTGAAAATTTCATCCAAATTGGACAAAAAACAACGAAGTTATAGGTACTTTATTGTTTCCCCATTATACCCCATGGCCGGATCTCAGAGGTGGCTCTGAGGCGGCTCCGAACTGCTTCGGGAAGCCTAACGAGGCCAGCGCTTTGACCCGGATGTGCTGCTTCGGACCCTGAAGCGTCCGAAGCTTCTCCGGATCCAAAGCTGTGTCGAAAGCCTTGCACAGCCCTAGTAGTTGGTCCAGTAAATGATATCACCCACAAAGCTCTCCACTTACATTTTTATCATATTATGAGTGAGTTGCAGGTGGGGGGATAAAATTGTAGTATTAATATTAAGTAGTAATTAGCACAAGATAAGGCTGTCATTATTAAAGAAATTAAGTCATATTTCCTAAGTCCCTTGCAATGAAGACTTACCACCTCATACTGAATGCCTGTCTGTCAATGCATAAATAACTAACTTACTTGCTATTCCACTTTTGTTGCCAGACAATATACTCTGACTATATTCCTTGCTTTACCCAGGAAACTGCTTCATGAGCAGGTATGCACAATGTGCGTATCCAGGTAATGTCAGTGATTACCAGGGATCTGGGTTTTCCATTTCCCATGGACAAAACTGTGGATTTCCTGTCTTTAGCAGAGAAAACACGGATTTTCCTGCTTTTGCAAAGCTCTGCAGGCTGGCTGAGTTCCAGCCTGCAAGACCTGTCTGCAAAAGAGGTAGGAAAGCCCCAACCCTGTCCTGAGGGGCAGGGGGAGAGGGAGGGAAAAGGGGAAGGGCAGGGCCTGAGGCATTTAGTTAGTCCCAAGTGTTGGGTCAAGCTCCATTTCCTAGAGCCTGTGAAGAGGTAAGTGGGGCTTGTGGGGGCTGTGGCATTGTGGGGCAGGGCTGGAGGAGAGTGATTCCCTCCTCCCCTGTGCAACCCCCCCCACCCCCAAATCCCTGCCGGAATGCCAGGCTTTATACCAGTGAAGACTGGGGGTTTGCGCGGGGTGGGGTGGTGTGGATCACCAGTGTAAAGCTGGGCACTCTGGCGGGGATCGAGGTTTGCAGCTGGCCCGAGTGCCTGGCCAGTTATATGTGAGGCATGGAGACACCGAGCCCAGTTGGGCTATGTGCAGGCAGCCAGCTGCAAACCCCTGATCTCTGCCATAGTGCCTGGCTTTATACTGGTGAGGATCGGGCTTTTGCAGGGGTGGAGGGCAGGGAATCGCCGGTATATAGCCAGCCACTCCAGCAGGGATCAGGGGTTTGCAGCTGTCTGGAGTGCCCAGCATGGGTCTGCAGTCGCAGCAGTGGCGTGGGGAGGCGTTGCACATGGCAGCCACCACTGCTGGCACAGCTCCACAGGTAAATGGCAGCAGCTGGTGCATGCAAGCCCCGCCCTGCCCCCCACAGCCACCATCCCTTGCCACCACTGCAGAGCTGTGGCCACGGAGCTGTGCAGTTGGCTGCATGCAAGCCCCTCTTCCCCCTCCCCTGGCCAGCTGGCTGGGCGGCATGTGTGTAGGCCACACATGGCGGGCGCTACTACACCACATCCCTCATTGCTTACCCGCAAAGCCCCTCCCTCCCCAGCTGGCATGCTGCTCCTGCCACCCTGCAGCACTGCAGAGCCATGCAGCTGGTCACAGGGCATAAGTGGCGGTGCAATGGCAGTCACTGCATGTGAGCCCCCCTTTCCCTCCCCAGCTATGTGGCACGTATGTAGCCTTCATACAGCGGCCGCCCCTGCACTGCTGCTGCTGCACCCTACACCACTGGCCCACAAAGCCGTGTCGTGGCCGTGGGATGGTAGCACAGGGTGCAGTGGCAGAGTTGTGGTGTCAGCCTCCATGTGCAAACACCCTATCAGGCCAGCCAGTGCACGTGCAGCCTGCAGAGTAGCACCCTGGCCCTGCTCCTGGGAGTGGTCGCAGGGGCATGCTCCCCACTTTCTTGATCTGCCCTCCCCCAGCACCTTCCCTTTCCCCTGCCCTACTCCGCCCACACTTACCTGCTGGGGTGAGTGTCAGTGTCTGTCTGCGTGTCTGTGGGGCTGTTGTGGGGGAGTGAGGAGCATCAGAAGGGTTGAGGAGGCTGTTGGGGGGAATGCGGGGCACCAGCAGCACTGGGGGGGGCTGTGGGGGTCTTTAATTTTTATTACGGATTTTGGGTTTTTAATCGGAGAATTTGTAATTTTTAATTGGAGAAAACCAGGATCCCTGGTGATTTACTTGTGAAGGCAAACATCAAGAAGGCGGGGGTGGTAGCCTGGGAATATTCATGTAGTATCAAAACACATAAGTAGTTTCTTGTCTCAAAGAGAAGTGATGCAGTGAAAATTTTCCTAAAGAACGGCACGTATAGTTTTAATAGGTAGGGTCAGAACGGACCTGAGCAGATCATCAAGTTCGACCCCCTGCCATGGGAGACGTATGAGTCTCTTTGACCAATATTGTTGCAATGAATACACCAACTGATGCCATTTTTAAATCTGACTTAACTGTCCTGACTCTAGAAATTTGTTTATGAATTATGTGATAGCAGGGTGTAATCAGAACGTGTGGAGGGCAGCTAGCAAAACTATATAGCCAATATAAAATGTAGTGTGGTCTTGAATGGGATATAAAACTGTCTTGCAGTCATAAGCAGCATGGAAAAACTGAAACATTATGTTTGTGTCTGCACACATGTCCAGTTGGGGGTTAGGATTTTATTCTTATGAGTATGTTGGAACTCACAAACAGCCTCTGGAAACCCACAAAAATCCTTGACTCGTATTCAAATTAAAGACTAGTCTCAAGCACACGGCCACTGAAAATTACATTCCTATTTGTAACTACTACTGCAAGCTGACTATTCTGCAAGCTATCTGCAGCTGACAGTTACACCAAGGGCATATCTACACAAGATGCTAACTCTGCAGTAGCCGAATAGTACTGCGTAGTAGCACATCACAACACAAACAGTGCTAATATGCTACTGTGCAGTATTATTAAGCTGCTGCGCAATAGTGTCACTTAAAGGTGTTCACCAGCACTACTGTACAGTCACTCCAGGTACTGTGCATTTATTTAGTATTTGATGATACAAGTACTAAATAAATGCGCAGTAACCACTGCACAGTAGCGTCTTGTGTAGACATGCCCGAAGAGTCATAGATTGGAAGGGACCTTGGAAGATCATCAGGTCCAGCCCCCTGCACCAAGCAGGAAAGACAACTGCGGTCAGGTGACCCCAGCAAGATGCCAGTCCAGTCTCCTCTTGAAGGTTTCCAGGGTAGGCAATTGTGCCACCTCTGGAGAGAGCTTATTCCACAGTCTGGACACCTTAGTTGTGAAGTAGTTTTTCCTAATGTTAAGCCTGAAATGGTCTTACAGGAGTTTGTGCATTACTC